GCATGGTTTGTCCATTAGGTAGATGTAACAAGAGAGGAAAAGGACCTGGAACTGGTCTGAGGATAGAAAAAAAAAGCAGGGTTCTCACCTTAAAAACAAGGTAACCACAGGCATGAGAAATAAGGGAAAAATAGAAACACATATATTGTGGCCATTTATGCCAGGCATAAAATGGGTGTTAATTAAAAGATACCTATTAGATATATTTTTCTAGTGTACAGGTGATAATAAAACAAAATACCCCTACATTTTCAATTAGTTTGTTTTCATAAAAGAGAGACCATTAGAATTCAAATGCTATGTACATAAATCACCAATAAGATGTGTGAGTTTTACATTACCAACTCAGAGAAAGCTATTCTTTTATTGGCAATACAAATAATATGTTTTTTTGTTTTGTGTTTTTTTTTTTAATCGGTTTCTGCAGAGTGGACATGGACAAAGCCCACTCCTCTATGGGCAGTTGGGTTTACATGGATTCCACAGTCTGTTTACACTTGATTACCTTCCGATCCGCCTAAATGGAAGAGGGTGGATCTCCTTCAATTTTTTTTTAGCAGACCTGAACGGACCCGTAGGTAGGCGGGTGTAAACAGAGACAAGTCCGTTTACACCCACCTATCCATAGGAATATAGACCATCCAATCAGGTCCCCCTGAAAAACTGATAGGCAGACTTGAACAGACACAGTGGGGTTGATTTACTATAGTTGGAGAGTGCAAAATCTGGTGTAGCTGTGCATGGTAGCCAATCAGCTTCTAACTTCAGCTTGTTCAATTAAGCTTTGATAAAAAAAAAACCCTGGAGGCTTATTAGTTTCTATACTGAGCTGCAACAGATTTTGCCCTCTCCACTTTTAGTAAATCAACCCCATTTCAAAATGTCGTAAATGTTGCTTACGTTGAGAATTGCTACTTTGTAATGCAAAATGAGTTTTTGCATGAAAAAGTCTGTTTTTACCTAAAGTGAAAACAGGGATTGCTGAGTCAAGATGGCTATGGTTTGCTCTGACAAAGTTCTAACAGAAGCTGATGACTATGCCCTCATTTTGCACAGTCTGTACACCGAAATACAGAGCAACCCAGCTCAGCACACTGGACATTCCTTAAGGGCATTGATTTGCAATGCTGGGATTCCACACTCCCGATTTATCAAAATGGCACAGCTGCTGCAAAACACACTCTTCCCAGGGTAAACAGGGGCTATCATATTTGTTCTTACCTGCTGTTGACAGTAAAGTGCTTTATTACTGTGAAACAAGATATTTAGAAATGCTTCAAGAAGTGAACACTGTACATCATAAAAGTGGATCTAACTTCAGAGCTATTTGTTTGTCATGTGAATACATGCTAAATAACATATCCATGTAACATCTGCAGGTATTTTTTTACATCTCTAAGGCTAGCCATACACAAATAGATTTCTCTCTAAAATAAATTCCTCCATCTGCGCTAAACAGCATGGATGGAGTAATCTCCCCTGTAAACTACTGTATTTAAAAAGTTGCAGCACCATCAGGTGTCTGAATACCCAGAACAGTGACTACATGTGATAGGATGCAGTCACTGTTCAGCCGATGAGTTTCCACTTGGCTACTTGATTTTTCAGTCAAAGGTTTTCTACCCAGGTGGTGCATACAGGGCCAACCACAAATCACTCTGGCCTTTGTAATTAATTATACTTTACTATCCTAAACAAATTACACGTCTTTACAACCATTAAGCATTCTTTCTTCTGCCAGGAGAAGGAAGCCTAGGAATGTGGGCCAAAGCATCCAGTGTGTATGAGGCCTAAGATTTAACCACAAGCCAGCCTTTAATGCAGTAATAAATCCAAAACCACAAATGCAATATATTGCAGCTTACCAATCATTAGATATGGTGGCTACACAATCACTAATTGACCCAGAGATCTGGCCAGTAGCATACCTTCTGTATTAGAGTGCCCCCACTCTGAATGAAGGAGCATAGGGGGCACTTTTGGAAAGCATCATTGTTAATCTGGGGGAAGAGGAGTGTTAGATGTACTAACAGATTAAGATACACTAACAAATTGAAGCTAAACTCCAGCTAACAATTTACAGTGAAAGAATTAAGTATGTGATCCCCTGCTGATTCTGAATGTTTGCCCACTCACAAAGAAATGATCAGTCTAAAAATCAAATGGTAGGTGTATTGTAACACAGAGACAGAATAGCAACAAAAAATACAAAAGAAATGCATTTCTAACAAATGATGCACTGATTTCCATGTTCATGAGGGAAATAAGTATTTGATCCCCTATCATTCAGCAGGATTTCTGGCTACCAGGTGTCTTTCATACAGGTAACAAGCTGAGATCAGAAGCAGTCTCCTAAAGGGAGTACTGCTAATTTAATTTTGTTACTTGTATAAAAGACACCTGTCCACAGGAGCAATCAAACAATCAGACTGCAAACTCTCCACCATGGCAAAGACCAAAGAGCTGTCCAAGGATGTAAGGGACAAGAGTGAAGACCTACACAAGGCTGGACTGGGCTACCAAACTATTGCCAAGCAGCTTGGTGAGAAGGTGACAACAGTTGGTTCAATCATTCGCAAATGGAAGAGAAACACAAAACAACTGTCAGTCTTCCTAGGTCTGGTGCACCATGCAAGATCTCACATCGTGGAGTGTCAATGATCATGAGAACAGTGAGGAATCAACCCAGAACTACACGTGAGGATCTTGTCAATGATCTCCAGGCAGCTGGGACCACAGTCACCAAGAAAACAATTGGTAACACACTACGCCGACAAGGACTGAAATCCTGCCGTGCCCGCAAGGTCCCTCTGCTCAAGAAAGCACATGTCCAGGCCCGTCTGACGTTTTTTCCACTGAACATCTGAATGATGCAGAACAGCACTGGTTGATAGTGTTGTGGTCAGATGAGACCAAAATCGAGCTCTCTGGCATCAACTCAACTCACCGTGTTTGGAGGAGGAGGAAATGCTGCCTATGACCCCAAGAACACCATACCAACTGTCAAACATGGTGGTGGAAACATTCTGCTTTGGGGGTGTTTTTCTGATAAGGGGACAGGACAACTGCACTGCTTCAAAAGGGACAATGGACGGGGCAATGTACCATCAAATCTTGGGTGAGAACCTTCTTCCCCTCAGCCAGGGCATTGAAAATGGGTTGTGAATGGGTGTTCTAGCATGACAATGGCCCAAACCACACAGCCAAGGCAACAAAGGAGTGGCTCAAGAAGAAGCACATTAAGGTTCTAGAGTGGCCTAGCCAGTCTCCAGACCTTAATCCTATTGAAAATCTGAGGAGGGAGCTGCCAAACCTCAGCCACCAAACCTTAATGACTTGGAGAGGATCTGCCAAGAGGAGTGGGCCAAAATTCCTCCTGAGATGTGTGCAAACCTGGTGGCCAACTAAAAGAAACATCTGACCTCTGTGATTGCCAACAAGGGATTTGCCACCAAGTACTAAGTCATGTTTTGTGAAGGGGATCAAATACGTATTTTCCTCATGAACATGCAAATCAGTGCATCATTTGTTAGACATGGATTTCTTTTGAATTTTGTGTTGCTATTCTGTCTCCCAGTGTTACAATAAAGCAACCATTCGATCTTTAGACTGATCATTTCTTTGTGAGTGGGCAAACATTCAGAATCAGAAGGGGATCAAATACTTATTTCCTTCACTGTATAAGCAGTTACAGCAAACATTTGTTTTCCATTTTGGGATAAAGGTTTTACATAAATAAATAAAAGCTGTTCAATGTGAATACCCCTCACACTAGTAAATGGTTTAGCTCAACCCTATAACTGCTACATCTACAGGACAGCTTGTTCTGTTGAAAAATAATGGACTTACTGGCCAGATCATCAAGTGAAAATAGAGAAAAGAAAGCCTAAAAATGAAAACTAAAGCAACCATCACATCTAAGAATTGGCAAGCTGCAACATAACAAATGTTTGCTTTTGGGTTCATTTAAAGAACATTATTGCAAAAAAGATTCCATTCTGATAACATGTTAATGCATGTAATTCAGTATATGAATCTCTATACAGTGTTATAGTTTGTCCCAAATGCTGTCACAGTCCCTTTTGATGGACAGCTTATCATTCATGTAAATGTTGATAAAGAGTTATAGTATAAATAAAAGCATATTAAAGAAAAAAAAGAATCCAGTCCTGAAAACTGTCATTTCACCCATATGTTCTTACTTTTTCTTCACTCCCTGACTGCTACGTTTGGTCACTGGGAATGAGGAGAGATATCCATATATGGGGCGGTACCTGTTTGGCATCTGGTTGAGCACCAGTGTTGTCCCATGGGTACTAGGAGAAAGTTCTAAAGCCGGCCATAGACGGTTCGAAACTCGGCTGGTTCTGCAGGGACTGGCCAAGACTCGAACCTTGTATGAGCAGGCTGATTGTAATCAAGTTGATCGATTAATCATCTTGGGTACAACCAGCTTGTCAGATTTTACATGAGATTATTGCTAGCTATAATCGCTGTGTTCTCCCAGCGAAGGCGGCTCCTCTCCCCCCCTCTGGGAGAAGAAAATAGCTCAGGAGGAGGGATTCCCCATCAACACTGTGTTGATGGGGGAATCAAGCAACTTTCTTTCCTGCAACCCATGGTTGCAGGAAAGAAATTCACTCTGTCTATGGCTGGCTTAAGACTTGTGTAAGCTCTGAGCAGACTGATTTGAGCCTTACACAGGCTTATTATCTTCACTACTGCGGGCAATTAGAGGAGAAGGGGAGTGAATGGAAGGTTAGTATAAGACCCAAGTGAGGTAGGCTCTTCAGGTAATCTATTGTTTTACCTTGTAAGGAGAAAGCACAAATTCACTTTAACCCATAATCTTAACCCCTGATACTAAACTAACATAACCTAACTGATTCCATAACACTGAATTATGTGGGTATAGATAATAGACAAAGGATTGTAAAGTTTACCTGAAAGTAATATTTCATGTGACTTTCACATTTTTAGTTTCCTGCTGTTTCATATTTTCATGATGGTATTTCATAGGCAGAGTTGTAGATTCTCCCTCTAATGGCTATTTGTATATCAGGCAGTGAAAAAATCATCTTTGCTGGGTGACTGCTGAGACAAAATCAGTTACAAAATAAGCTATCTAGATTGTACTGTGTTCAGCAGGTCATCATAGGTCTAAATAGACCCAAAGACTTGCTTTAAGATACAAACTGCAATTACTGTGCTGTGTTACTAAGTGGGAAGTCCATTATATATATATATATATATATATATATATATATATATATATATACATATATATATTTATTTATTTATACAGGAGGGCTGCCATGTTTGCTTGTTACAATATATATACACCGTATTTTTCGCTCCATAAGATGCACTTTTTCCCCCCAAAAAAGGGGGAAAAATGTCAGTGCGTCTTATGGAGCGAATATGGAGCGGTCGGTCCGGTATTTCCACCGCCGCCGTGTCAGAATACCGGGCCGGCCGCTCAGCTCTGCAGCAAGACCTTACCTGTTCCTCTATCCAGCGGCACGCTGTCTTCCCGGCTTCTGTAGTGTGGGCGCTCGACTTGACAGCCGGGTGCCAAGTGCGTATGTGCAAGAAGCGGTGCTGTTTGTGAATGGTAAGGCGGCACCTGGGACACATGACAGGTCCCAGAAGCCGCCGGACCAATCACAAAGCGCAGCGCTTCTCGCTCATGCGCACTGGGAACCCGGCTGTCAAGCCGAGCGCCCACACTACAGAAGCCGGGAAGACAGCGCGCCGCTGGATAGAGGAACAGGTAAGGTCCCGCTGCAGAGCGGACACTAACTAAAGAACAACTCCACGGAAGTAAGAGCGGGTACCTGTCAAATCCAGGTACCCGCTCCCCCCCCCCTCCCCAAAGGTTAGCAGTCATCTCCTGTACTATGTCCGCAGTCTCTGGTCATCTCCTGTATAATGTCTGCAGTCCATTGGTTCAGAATATTTTTTTTCCTGTTTTCTGCCTCTAAAACCTAGGTGCGTCTTATGGTCAGGTGCGTCTTATGGAGCGAAATATATATATATATATATATATATATATATATATATATATATATATATATCAAACATGGCAGCCCTCCTGTATAATTAAAAGTTTTTCTGATTCTGAGATTATTAAGGCCTCGTTCACATGAGAGTTGAGACCCGTACCACATGAATAAGGCTTCTACTTGTGAGGCTGGAGCTGTGTGCAGGCAGCCTATGTAAGTGAATGCAAATGCAGTGGCTTTAGTGACACAGCTGCCACCCTAATTTGACAGTTGTGCAGATGTGGGTGAGCAGCCCCGAATGCAGAGTGTGCATTTACGCCATGCACCAGCCCCTGCATGCTTGTCATATTAGGATGTGCAGCTCTGTCTGTACGGCTGTTGCATCTGCATTCACTTATGTAGGCTGCCTGCACACAGCTCCAGCCACATAAGCAAAAACCTCATTTATGCTGCACAGATCTTTGCTCCCCTGTGAATGAGGCCTAATATGAAAATAAAATTCCAAGCAAAATTCATTTAAAGTTTATATATGTACTGTTACTGGTTTACATGTCTACGGATCTGAAATTATCTACAGCCAATCTTGTAATTTCCACTCATTTCCACACTGTAATAGCCAGATGGGTGATACATATAGTTCCAGATTAAGTAATTCATCTTTCTTGTTCAGCAGACAAAGCAAGTAGTAATACTAAATCCAAAGTTATAATTCTTTTTTAATGGGAAACCCTTTTATTTTTGGTAGATATAGCATTAATATGATCAGTTTAAAGTAAATATTAGCCAAAACAAATGTTTTTTGTTTTAAAGTGGAACTTTAGTCAGAAAATTAAGCCCTGTTATATAATTTCAGACCGGCCCATTTTGTGGGTACAACTATGTAAAACATTAAAAAAATAAGTGCCTATACTCTTTAACCACTTCAAGTCCGGACACTTTCACCCCCTTTCTGTCCAGGATAATTTTCAGCTTTCAGTGCTATCATACTTTGAATGACAATTGCGCGGTCATGCAACACTGTACCCATATGAATTTTTTAGCCTTTTTTTGAGACAGATAAAACTTTATTTTGGTGGTATTTAATCACCACTGGGATTTTTATTTTTTTTGCTATATAAATGAAAAAGTCCAAACATTTTGAAAAAAAAAAAAAAAAAAGTGTTTTTCTTATAAAATTTTGCAAATAAATAATCTTTCTTCATAAATCTTGGCCAAAAGGTATTAGTCTATCTTTTTAATAAAAAAAAAAAAAAACAAAAACAAATTAGTTTATAACCAAAAATTTTTATTTAAAAAAAAAAACTTTACATTTTTATTTTTTATAATATTATTTATGTTTTTTTTTAACATACTGTCACCCTTGCCATTGAGAAATAATGTGTGAGCTGTGATTGGTCACAGCTTGTCACATGGTACAAGGCTGTTGTGAATAGCCTTGTACCATGTGACCTCTGTGATCATTCACAGATTTCACTAGTAGTAAGCAATGATGTCAGAAGTGACATCTTGCTTACTACTATTCATGTGATCACTGATTGGCCAATCAGTGATCACATGATCAGGATCTCACACAAAGGTCTCATACAGCGATCAGTGTTCCACTGTGTCCTCCGGACACAGCGGGCACCGGATCGCGGTGCCGCACACTCATAGGGAGCGCGCACAGGGCGGGGAGGATGTTTATAAACGGCCACCCGCTCCTACAATGCTGGTTTAAAAAAAAAAGCAGTTAAGATCCAGTAATGCACTGTCTCACCCTGCTCTGCACATGCTTAGTTGCTCCTTATTTTTCAGCACTGTGGTGAATATCTAGAGGCTGATCTGCTAACAGCCTAAAGATTTACTGCTGCTCATGGGCTCTGGGCTTCAGCAAAATGGCAGCCTTTAGCAAGAAGATACAGGAACAATGCTGGCAGCAGTTTACAGCACACACTAATTTTGGTAGCATAATTATTAATGTGGAATGTATGTTCCTTGCTAAAGAACATTATTTTTTATCAAGTTGTTATGGGTAAAGTTCTGCTTTAATGTTAGATAATATATGTAAGGGTTAGAATTTCTGTCAGGCTTTAATTGTTGTGTCCCTGTTTGAAAGATTTCCCTCATAGAATTAAAGGGACATCTCCCACAAAGGGCAAACTGAAGTGATTAAAAACTTGGCAGTAGATCTTACTCTTCCTCACTCAACTAATAGCTATATTAGCAACTTGTGTCCCTGATGGAGAGATTTCTCCTTACTTACGGTCTCTGTGATCACTTAGGAAATGACAAAAAATCTCCCCAACAGGTCCACAAACAACAATACCTTTCCTCAAGGCTTTGTCTGACATTCCACTGTAATGTAAATAACCATTTATAGGAACATGAGGGCAGACACACCTACCATTCACAGACTTTGGCTGTGATTACTACATAGCAGGTCTATACAGTGATTCTGGTTTACTCTTCTCCTCTCTCTCAGTGCAAGCCTATGGGTCTGCTTGGATTGGCTAATAATCTCTTAACTCATCAGATCTGCAGCAAGGATAGAGACAGCCACTAGGAGAACTGAAAAATCTCTGTATAAAATACCGCCATGAATAAACAGCAAGTACGTACAAATGTGAAAGTCACCTCAAGAATTACTTTCAGGTAACAAGTCAAAATACGATTTATTCAAAGCAGCTCCCCCTTAAAAAGTGGAATGTCTTTTAATGAAAAAGTTGGACCTCCTTCCGCCTATGGCGTATCCAGAGGCAGGGCTTTGCAGCAAACTACCAATCATCAGAATTTATCATGTTTGGATTCCGCAACATCTCAGAAATGCACAGTAGTAAACAAACTCAGGCATAAAATTCTGTGCAACACTTAATTTATATCAGGCTGATACAGCTGCACATACAGTAATGTTCGGGATTGCATAATCTGTTTTTTTCTCATATACATGAATGCCAAAATTCGCTTTGGAATGAAAACCAATTCAGTGATAACTCTATCCTGTTCAGCTGAAAGATACCCAATCTCTGCATCCGGATATTGCTGGCACTGCCAGTGGTCCTATGAAGAGTCACTTGTGTTGGGCCTGGCCATTGAATGGCAGTCATACTGGACGCATAGGCCAAGCTTGAGACAGATATTTCCATTATGCTCTATGGCTCGACCAAGGGAATACATGACATTTCAGAAGACAGCAGTCTGAGGCAATGACATGGCACATTTGCCCAAATCAGTAGTTATCAGTGCCAGAGTATTTGCTTTTGGAGTGAACTGTGTATATTTTGTCCCTGCCAGCTCAGGTATTTGAAAAGGCAAGTAGCCTGTAGAAGAGGTGAAGGCAGTGTATACTGTAAAAGGTTAATTTAAAAGCAAACTACTGCACTGGATCTCAAACTAGCATAAATCCAGCAGCATCCAATGTTTTTTATTTTGCCTTACATAAATGAGAAGGATAGATTTTGTCCAAATCCATGGTTGTTCTTAAAATAGTCTAATGCTACAAAACATTATTATGAAGGCAAAAGTTGGATCTTTCACTCCGTTTACCTTCCAAAGTGCAGCAGAAACTTTTTTTGTTTTAGGTTTGGAGGATAGAGCCTATGACAAATTTTTAATGCTGTCTGTGTCCCCACATGGCCCTCGAACCCCTCGTGTTTTTGTCTTTTTACTGTATTGTCTCATGTACTGTCCCCCACTATAATGTACAGCGCTGAGCAAACCTTTTGGTGCTATATAAATAATATATAATAATAATAATAATAATAATAACAACAACATGGGAGTTTTCCCCCTACTTCTCGTCAATATGACAAGACCAGGAAGTAAGGGAAAAATCTTCTGACATCCAATTTGACAGGTGTCAGAATAGGACGCATTGGAAATGGAAATTGTCCCCAATGGGGACACAGGCAGCAATAATATTACATTCTATAGTAGAGAGAGATAGGTTAAGAACCACCACTAGGATTTCATTGTCTGTACGCCCACTGGGGAGATTCACTCTCACTTCCTGCTCAGGAGATGTGTGTCAGAACAGGAAGAGATACAGAATTTCCTCTTTGGAAAAGGTGTATTTATCACACAGATCTCTCCCTTCCAATCTTCACAGTCATCAGTTAAAAAAGGCCAGAACTCTATGAAAGATACATTGTAGATCTTTTTGCTGCAAGCAGTAATCATTGATGCACGTTTCGAGAGCACACAGGTCCACTTTGCTAAGGCATGCCTTTACAAAATGCACCTGTGTGCCCTCAAAGCATGAGCTGGTAATGGCTGTTTGTGATAAAAGAGTTATTGCTCACACGAAGTGAGGGCTTATTTCCCATAAGGGGACACAGACAGCATTTAAAAACTGACCCTAAACCCTTTCTCTGGCAGGCAAGTTCATTATGCTTCGGGAGAATCCTCTTATCCTAGGATTCTATTCTGTAATAGCCTCGTCTCATGCTCTTTCGCTGTGTTTTTAAAAGGCACATTTACACAATTAAAACAATGTGCTGTTGCAGATTACTCACACTATGGGCCGGTTAGAAGGTGGCGCTTGGGTAATTACAGAGCTGGAAGTTGGGGAAGGTACTGCTGGTTGAATAATAACACTTGAGTCCGAATTTGTAAGCAGCACATTTGGAACCTGAAGAGATGGAGGTCGAACGATGGTAGATGTGGGCTGTGCGGTTGGCAATGGCACTTCCTAGCAATAAAAAAAAAAACAAGACAACCTGTTATGAACACATACATTGCCCATGGTACAATGATAATAGAAATCTAATTCATTCTCAGAATCACTTTAATAAAGCGTTGTTGAGCGTACAATAGAAAAAAAAAACATAAGCAGAGGTGAATTTCAGGTAATACTGCATACTGCTAAGTAGATCCAGAAATACAGGCTACTGAAATTATAGGCAAGTCTCCTAAAAGCCAAGCTTGACCTTGTCTTCCTACTGGTTAATGAAGGTATGTCTCAGGAGGTGAGAATCCCCAAATCCCACAAGATTCTCCAAATAAATATATCTACAGTTTATGTCTACCTGTTACACTGTAAGCTCCAGTGATTAGCCAAGAAATGCCCGATAGAGCCATGCCATGGGACCAGGGAACGTCTGCTCTCTGGGATCCATGAGGAATTTAAAGTGCAATTTCAGGCAACACCAAAACAGATCAGTATGCTACTGATAACCAACAAAACCGCAGCTGGACTAAAATCAGAAAGTTTGCTCAGTTTACCTCAATCTTAGTGCTGTATATTCCATTCCAGCCAGAATTCAAAGCACATCTCACAGGGCCATTTGGAATGTACCTTCTGAAGCCTGCACTCTATAACTTCCTTTTCCTCTAATTATTTTATCACCAAATCACATTTAGTCTTCCAAGGGGAGCTTTGTCAATCTACTTTCCCATTTTTTAAAGATCCCATTTTTTCTTCAGACTTTATGTATGTGAGAAATCATAAGAAGCCTGCGGTGGGTGTGCTTGAGAATTGCTCTCCTGAATCACAAGCAGTAGTTCTCAAAAAAGAGGCAAGAAAAAAAAAAAAAAAAAAAAGACAATAGGGAGTGGAGTGGGCTGAACCAGCAAAAGCGGGCGCGCAAACACACACACACTATATATATATATATATATATATATATATATATATATATATATATATACACACACACACTGCTCAAAAATATTAAAGGAACACTTTTTAATCAGAGTATAGTCCAACATTTATTTCGACTTCTTGGATTGCGGAAGCAAATGGTGGTTACAGTTAAGTAGCAGAGGGGGTTGTTAATCAGTTTTTGCTGCTTTGGTGTTAATGAATTACAACAGGTGCACTAGATGGGCAACAATGAGACGACCCCCAAAACAGGAATGGTTTTACGGGTGGAGGCCAATGACATTTTTTTCCCTACTCATCTTTTCTTTTTTTCACTGGTTTTGCATTTGGCTAGGGTCAGTGTCACTACTGGTAGCATGAGGCGATACCTGGACCCTACAGAGTTTGCACAGGCAGTCCAACTCCTCCAGGATGGCACATCAATATGTGCCAGTGCCAGAAGGTTTGCTGTGTCTCCCAGCACAGTCTCAAGAGCATAGGGGAGATTCCAGGAGACATGCAGTTACTCTAGGAGAGCTGGACAGGGCCACAGAAAGTCCTTAACCCATCAGCAGGACCGGTATTGGCTCCTTTGTGCAAGGAGGATCAGCATGAGTACTACCAGAGTCCTACAAAATGACCTCCCGCAGGCCACTGGTGTGAATGTCTCTGATCAAACAATCAGAAACAGACTTCATGAGGGTGGCCTGTGGGCCCAACCATTTTGGTGGTGGGTCAGTGATGGTCTGGGGAGGCATATCCATGGAGGGACGCACAGACCTCTACAGGATAGGCACCCTGACTGCCATTAGATATCGGGGTGAAACCCTTGGACTCATTGTCAGACCCTACCCTGGTGTAGTGGGTCCTGGGTTCCTCCGGGTGCACAACAAAGCCCAGCTCCACGTGGTGAGAGTATGCAGGCAGTCCCTGGAGGATGAAGGAATTTATACCACTGAATGGCCCCCACGCAGCCAGGTTGCACCTCAGACTGTCTAGCTCAGTGATGCCCTGGTCCAGATCTGGGAGGAGATACCACAGGACACCATCCGTTGTCTCATTAGGAGCATGTTCCGAAGTTGTCAGGCATGCATTCAAGCACATACAAACTACTGAGTACCATTTTGAGTTGCTGCAATGACATTTTAGCAAAATGGACTAGCCTGCTACATAATTTTTTCACTTTGATTTTCAGGGTGTCTTTGAATTCAGTCATCTGTAGATTGATAATTTTCATTTACATCAAATGATGGGGCATTCTTATGTTCCTAACACATTACTAAGTCCATATCAGTATAGATATCCAGCATATTTTTCCCCATTGAGAACTGATGTGTTTTCAAAGTGTTCCTTTAATTTATATATAGTTTGCTAGTTTTGACTGGAGTGTAAAGAAAGATCTCCTGGGAAATCAAACATCACCCTGCTCCATCCATACACAATGCATGAAGGGGTCAAATATAAAAGCCCATAATCTATGTGGACCTAAAGTAATCCATGCATAAAAATACAACTCTGTTTCATCCAGTTACTACGAGATCTAACAAATATGGCCAATTTGTTTGGAAGACAACAAAATAAAATATCACAGCCACATACACACATCAATGTTGCCATTTAACAACTGTATGAAGGTAAAAAAAAAAAAGTGTGCAGCTCCCCCCATACCCCCCCCCCCCTTGCTTACCTGAGCCTGATCTTCATCCTATGTGCATGAGAGCCTTGGCTCTCCCAGGTGTCTCGTCTCTCTGCTTATTGGCTGAGGCACAGCAGCAGGAGCCATTGGCTCCTGTTGCTGTCAATCACAACCAGTGAGGAAGGAGAGGGAGCTGGACTAAACCACGCTGTGTGTGTCCCTTACACATAGGAGGTTTGGGAGTGAGCATGCACGAGTCACCCCAAGAACAAGCAGCTTGCGCTGGGGACACAAGGCAAGGGGAGCGCAGAAGAGGAGGATCTGGCCTGCTATTGCACAGAGCAGATAAGTATGACATGTTTGTTATTTTAAAGAAAAGAAAACCTTTAAAAGCATTTTAAATAAAGAATAAACCCATTTTTTTCAACGGCGATGTAATATAATCACCTTTTGTTTTAAGAAAGCACTTCTGTTAAGGAGTGAGTTAATAGAAGGATTTTTAGTTCCTTTAAGCCACCTCACTATAACCCGTCCAGTTACACTTTCTCAGTGTAACCATCATAATTTATCACACACCCAGGAAGAAAACATTAAGGTGTTTAACAATCTTACTGACCTTTTCGTCACTTGTGGTAGACTCAGGATGAGGTAATGGACTGTCTTGATGTGTTGTTTCAACAATAGCTGGCTCTTCAATTTTACTTCTTATAACAGGAGTTACAAGAGGAGAGAGATCCAGGGGCATCTAAAGTAGAAATTGTAATATTATTAGGCAGACCCCGGAGAACACTTAAAAAGTGGAGTAAAGGAATATGTTAGGGGAGGTAAACACTGTAAATGTTTTTTTCTAAAAATGAAGGCTTTTGTATATTTTGGAAGCGTCATATTTAAAGAGCTGCTCTACTCCTGTGTGCCTCCATAGCAAAGCTTGTGGGACAGTTACACATGGCCGGCTAAGCTGTTCTTATTCAGAGCATCACTAGTGCCGCCTAACCCTGTGAGTTTGCCAAGAAACCATGCATATACAGTGGATATAAAAGTCTACACACCCCTGTTAAAATGTCAGGTTTCTGTGATGTTAAAAAAATGAGACAAAGATACATAATTTCAGAACTTTTTCCACCTTTAATGTGACCTATAAACTGTACAACTCAATTGAAAAACAAACTGAAATAACTTGGGGGGGGGGGGGGGGTTGGGGGAGTAAACATAAAAAACTAAAATAATGTGGTTGCATAAGTGTGCACACCTCCCTAACTGGACGTCCCTCCAAAATTGATGAAGAAAATAAAACTGGTCTGGGGAGCTGCCAAGAGGCCTACAGCAACATTAAAGGAGCTGCAGAAATGTCTGGCAAGTACTGGCTGTATGATACATGTGACAACAATCGCCCATATTTTTCATATGTCTGGGCTATGGGGTCGAGTGCAAGATGGAAACCTATTACTTACGAAGCTAAACATTCAAACCCAGCTAAATTTTGCAAAAAACACATCTGAAGTCTGCCAAAAGCACGTGGGGAAATGTGTTATGGTCTGATGAAACCAAAGTTGAACTTCTTGGCCATAATTCCAAAAGGCATGTTTGGCGCAAAAACAACATTGCACATCACCAAAAGAACACCATACCCACAGTGAAGCATGGCGTGGTGGCAGCATCATGCTTTGGGGCTGTTTTTCTTCAGCTGGAACTGGGGCCTTAGTCAAGGTAGAGGGAATTATGAACAGTTCCAAATACCAATCAATATTGGCACAAAACCTTCAGGCTTCTGCTAGAAAGCTGAACATTACATTACATCGAGTTTATATAGCGCCAAAGGGTTTGCTCAGCGCTGTACAATGGGGGGGGGGGGGGGAACAATACATGAAACAGTACAGCAACAACAAACAGCACACGAGGGGTTAGGTGGGCCTTACTCTTTCGAGCTTACAATCTAGGAGGGAGGGGATAGTGGTACAGGAGGAAGTGGCTGTGGGGGATGGAGTGGTAGGAGGAATGAAGGAGAAACGGCTGTTAGGTGAGGGTGGGGTAGGCTTCCCTGAAGAGGTGGGTTTTCAGGGAGCGCCTGAAGGTGAGGAGGGAAGGTGACAGTCTGATGGATTGGGGGTAGAGAGTGCTGTAATAAAATCAAAAGGTGCTTCAACAAAGTATTAGTTTAAGGGTGTGCACACTTATGCAACCATATTATTTTACTTTTTTGTTTTTACTTCCCTCCACCTAAAAGACTTCAGTTTGTTGTTCAACTGAGTTGTACAGTTTATAGGTTACATTTAAAAGGTGGAAAAAGTTCTGAAATGATTTATCTTTGTTTCATTGTTTTACATCACAGAAACCTGACATTTTAACAGGGGCGTGTAGACTTTTTATATCCACTGTATGAAGGGATTGCAGTAAATAATTGCCTCATGAGGCTGCATGTGATAAAATGAAATCTCCATAATGGTAATAAAAATAAAATAAAGTTTAAAAAAAAGGTGTGCAACCAACTTCATTAAAAGGAATCATTTGACAAAATTCTAGGGAAAAATCTGGGAAATTGTGTAAATACTAATTAGCGATGTTTGGTATTTTGCTATGATGTGTCATTTCTATCCACTATTGTAACCCACTGCTGATCTATCCCTGTATTTTCTAGTCTGACTATATTTTACTCCTTCGTCTACTGATCTTCCTTCTTGATGTCATAATCTGGTTCCTACTTAAAATCATTTTTAAACAGACTTGCAAGTTCATTAAAAAGACCCACTTGATTGTTTTACCTTCTTGATGTCATCATCTGAAGCCTTCTTAAAATCATTTTCAAACGGACTTGCAAGTTCATTAAAAAGACCCACTTCTTCACAGTTCTTCAAGAATCGAGTTGGTGTCGGCGTTTGATCTAAAATTCAAGACAGAAAAAACAATAACAAATATATGAAGCACAATCTGACTTTATGCTGATAGTCAAAGTTCAGTACACCAAAAAAAAAGGGTAAATACACAATTTTTACTAGTGGGTTTATTAAAGGATAAGTTCACCTTTTAGAAAAAAAATGTGCACTTATTATTTTTGTCTACAGGACTCTGGAAAGCATTGCACAAGCGATCAGTAGATTGCTGGTGCCATGCAGGTCTCCTTTAGACCTGTCATAATATCTGCTTGCCGTATGGGATGTTTGAGGAAGTAGATATTCTGACAGGAAGCTACAATGAACTATGAAAACTACAAGCAGACAGCCACTAAGGCTGTTGGGACTTGCAGTTCCCATTCCATGAATGAACGACACGCCCCATACTATCTGTCGGGGGGGGGGGGGGGGCCTACACGTCTACAGCTATGGGAACATGTTACATGTTTCACCCTGAAGACAGGTGAAACATGTATCATGTCCCCGTGAAACATGTATCATGTCCCCAAAGGTGAACTTATCCTTTAAGTGTTTAGTATACCAACAGTGAACATAGGAGGCCTGAGGCAGAATGAACATTAAACAATGAAGATTGTTCTGTAATGTTGAAGACATGTTTGTACTCATTCAAGTAACCTTCTCAGCTTCAACCTGATAACAAATCAATAACTACGATCTCATAATAATGGGGGACGTGTTCCTGTACTAGCTAATGATCATCTCGTTTTCTCTGTGTCCCTTTGCTTGCCTTTATTTGGAGCACTATTCCTCCTGCTGATATGGTGCACTACTTCTTCTCACTGACACTAACACTGAGACACCATGCCTTTCTCTGACACCAACAGTAGGACATTATTCCTCCCATTGACACCAACAGTGAGACGTCATTCCTCCCAATGACAGCAACAATGGGGCACCCAAATGATACTAATAATGGGTACTATTCCTCCCACTAATACCAGTGATGGGCCATTATTCCTCATCCGACTACTCATAGGTGAGGGGCACTATTCCTTCCACTGACACCAACGATGGGGCACTATTCCTCCCACTGACACCAACAATGGGGCACCCCCACTGATACCAACAAATGTACACTATTCCTCCCATAAATACCAGCGACGGGGCACTATTCCTCCTCTTACTGACCATACATGGTATATAATTTTTGTAGTCCCACTGACCACCAAACCTGTGGCATTGTTTATTCCCACTGGCCACAGTCTGGCACACCTAAGTCTGAAGGACATTATATTGGTCTTTTGTTTAGAAAGTTTGGAGACCCCTCAACTTGTCTAATAATGCCTCGTTCACACTGGTAGTGTCAAACCCGCATTTATATGCATTTGAAGACATTTCTAAATACATGTAAATGCATGAAATAATACTTTAATGGCAACATTCACACAGTACATTTTCTGCGTTTCGGTGCAGTCAGTTTAGCTGTGTTTAATCGGACCTTGGATCCACAGAATTCTATCTCCTCTAGACACTCTAAGAGCAGCTAAATGCATGTAAATGCAGGAACATCTAAAAGCGCATACTGCCTGCATTCTGGGCATTTGTCCCAAGGTGCATATTGCCCTAATTATTTCTACCGCTAGGTGCACTGTCTAAGTCCAATCCAGCTGTAGTGGCTTACAGCCTCTCAGAGTCTTATGGGCTGCTGACTAGGGGGCTGGACAGTGCACATGTGCTTCAACCCACACTAAAATGCCAGCATCTCATGCATTGGGGCTAAATGCCAATTGTACATGAGACCTAATACTGAGCTGTAGACTGTTCCTCTCGTCCCCTAGCAAGAATTGCATTGTTTCACTGCCAACAGCAAAAATGGTTGAAAAAGAGCCCTGTAATTTACATACTTGCATCATAAACACGGATATTAGGAACACATAGGTAAAGTAACTATACAGTATATTGTAAAATAAACACACAAATGAAGCAATACAAAGACAAAAAGATACTTTTTCACACAAGTACATTGTGCAGCAGACACATATCAGGAATATGAAATGTTGGGTTTACATATTCTTTAACATATGCAAAAGCTAATGCAAAGGTGCTAATGTAACTATGAGTATAGGATTTCTCAGAGTAAGTAATCAACACCTCTCATGTAAGTGTAAATTAAAGCAGAATACTCTCCCTTAGGAATACCAACCTGCAACGATTACACTGTCATTGCGAGCAGGCCCAAACTTCAGTGTCATCTCATGTTTATGCTTGTGTACAGCCAGATGATCTTCATTGGTAAAACGCTGTCAATTAATGTGAAAAAAAATTGCTCATCGAAGAAAACAACAGATCACGATATACTTTTACTATAACAGCTGCAGCAAAAGAACAAAACACACAGTTTTCATATGTGCTGCTAGTGACCCAAGCATTACCAGTGAAAATATTTCCAACCTTTGGAAATGATGCAGAACTCCAGCTTTTTTTTTGGGGGGGGGGGGGGGATGCAAAGGCTAAGGAAAAGGCTTTGCCAGCCTAATAATATTTGTGTGCCATTTGCCAAGATTTCCACAGGCTGGATTCCATATTGATAAAGGCAACAGGGACAAGAAGATAACCCTTTCAACCATCAATATTGTTTTTAATGTTTTGAATCTTGAATATGTGAGCCAACAAATGAGCTTGTTAATGTTCACAGACATTTTCCAATATCCTGCAAATCTCACCAACCAATTAAACGATCTGGCCACCTGAAGCTGATCTTGCAACTCTGGGCATATGCAACTGTGTTGAATAGCCCTCTTTTACAGGTATACATTCCATTTACTTATATATAGTAGGAGATTAGGTTGTGGAAGAATCTGGTTTTACAATAATGGTTTAAGATGTTGAACATTAAAGTCTGTTGCACCCAGTGCCTGTAAAGTCTTTAGATGGAAATGATGCCAAGGTAAATGCTAATGCACTTAGAAATGTTTAAATACAGTAAAATCTATCACTGAAAGAACCAAGCTTACCATTCATCTCTTATAACCTCTTGTATGACAGCATTCGGTTTTTACTTAAAGTGGTAGTAAAGTCTTGTTTATTTATACCTACCTGTAGGTACTGTAAATATTTCCTAAACGTGCACCATTTAGGAGATATTTACTTTAGCAGCGCTGTTGATGTCACCGGCGCATGCACACTGCGCTCTCAATGGATGGCACTCCATCCATTGAGAGAGTCGTGCTGCGGCCATGGCATGTTACCGGTCAAATGGCCGAAGCCCACGAACACAGAAGGAAGAATGGGTGAAGATGGAAGCACCAGGGAGCTGTGACAGCACAATGCTGGAGGGCTTCGTTTTCAGGTTTTTCAGAATGTGCTAGTATGCAATGCATACTAGCACATTATGGTCTTAACTTGCAGGGAGAAGATTATTTTGTTTTATTTTTTTTGCAGTTTACTACTGCTTTAGGCAAAACTTTTTTTTTCCATTTTGGAGTAAGGGAGGGTTAAAATCCCTGTCAGTTTATTCTTTTGCCATCTGTGGCCCATTGGGGAGATTTACCTTCACTTTCTGTCCTATAGCCAAACAGGAAGTGAGAGACCCCCAGGTTTCCAGAACTAGTGTCCCCATTGGAAAATTTCCCTTCTATTGGGGACAACCCAAAGTTTTGAGTTGCTTTCAACTTATGATAATGCTAAACAGGACACAAATACAGAAGGGTGAATCTCCCCAACGGGAGCACAGATGGCAATAAAAAAACCTAATAGGTGTTCTAGACCATCTCCAGTCTCTCCAACACTAAAAAAAAAAAGTTTGCCTTTAAAGTGATACTAAATTCTGTGTTTTTTTGTTTTGTCTTTTTAAATATCAAACATACTCAATCTTGTCGGGTGCCCCCATAACAAGCAGCTTGCTCTGGGGCACCCAAGCAGGCATGCTACCGAGCCACGGCTCTGCATGTCCATTCACACAGAGCCGCAGCTCGGCCCTGTCCCCTCCCTCTCCTGTTTGGTTCCGGTGATTGACAGCTGCTGCCTCAGCCAATTAGGAGTGAGAGTCCATGAAAACCAAGGCTCTCGTGGACATCACTGGATCGGGATTGAACTCAGTTAAGTGTGGGGGGGGGGGGGATGCTGCACACTGAAGGTTTTTTACCTTCATGCATACAATGCATGAAGGTAAAAAACCTTGAGCCTTTACAACCACCCCCTGTTGTATTCAAAGCTTCCCCTGTGCTCCAAGAACCCCAAGTAGTCTTATGCAATATTGAATATCGATTCCACGGCAGCGGAAGTGCCTCTTGATGGGTCTCAAATTGGAGGCACTCTGAAGGTAGTATGTGTAGCAATCGTGCGCACAAATATGGACGCGGACGTCCATGTTGCTAAAGATCCTCCATCTTGTGTCATTCTCACTCCAAATCAGTCCCCCCCTCCCTTCCTGTTGAATGGCATGTGGTCTGGTGTGGCTGAGTTTAGGAGTGCATCGGGCACCGCTGGATACACTTCATGGTTAAAAACCCAATTAGCCGATTCCAGTGTGTCTGGCAGACTCTTGCTCTGAGCTGCTCGTAAAGCTATAAACCCGTCAGTCACTGGACTTGATAGCATTCCGGAATAGCAGTAAAACCTTACAACCCATTTGAAACCACTTTTCCATACACTTTCATATTTCCCGCAGGAAAAACTTACAATGAAACAAAACATATATTCAGACAGATCAGTTTAATGCGAGTCACCTGATACCTTACATCCCTAGATTACGTCTACCCGAGAGCAGAAAGCGATATCTCCTTAACCATCCCAAGCAAATATGTCATATTTGGTGTCTGGACGTTCAGAATATCATTCTGCATATTATCTTACCAGTGGATAGGATGCTACATGTACCTATGGAAGGTTATTGAACAGGGTATAACTTAAGAGGGATTTGGTTCTAGCCTGGGTCTCCGCCTAAACCCCCCCCTCCCAAAGGAGGCGATTGACCCTTAGCTTCAGTAGACACCCCCTGCTGGTGGATTAGAAAAGAGGCTGTCAGGCCTGAGAGAAAAGATGAAGAGACTCTCCCTTGTAACATCAGGAACCAACTTTGGGAGAAAAGGAACCCTTTTGTTCGGAAACTTGAACGCTGCATAAACCAGGACTTCTGACAAGTACTCTACCTCTCTAAACTTCTGTTATCTCTCTGTTGTGTTACTGCTCTCTGTATTTATTTATTTTTATATATATATATATATATATATATATATATATATATATATATATATATATATATTGGCTACATCTTTTTCTGTAAATGTTTTTATTGCACCATTTTGACCTTTTTAGTGATAAATCCTATTTTCTGAAAAGTGTTGAACTGTTTCTAAAGCTCATTAATGCAAACTAAGAATCCGTGTCTCTGAAGAGCGCTACTATGTGTTTCAAACTTCTGCATACATCTGCCTGCGGTGACAGTGTGTATACAGACGCTTATTCAAACATCATAGTGTTACTGCTAAGATTGGTGAGTTTCCTCCTTCTCCGTACAAAAAGGCGGGTGGGGTGGTGGCAGTGTGAAGGGTTAATTGCGTAATTAACCTGACCCAGTAACAATCACTCTCAGGCTGTGGCACAAAGATTGTGGTCCAGTGAGCTGGAAAATCTTTGTGCAGGGTGCAGCTGAGCGTGGCATTGTTACGCAACGTGACAGTGCGGTTTTAGATTGGCTAGTCCTTCGGTCACAAGTTGGTGAGAAGGGCTGGGGGTCTGACGCCGCGCCCGTCACAGTATGGGCTTTACATAAAGAAACTGTATTATGTTTGCCTCAGATACAATTTACTTCTTGTGAATTTTTGCTTAGTCTCTTTAAATGGGTTGAGTCCTACCTGGCCACATCCAGGGGCAGTGCATACAAATGGTTTATCATCACTCATATTCTACAGGTCCTTGTTATTACCTGCCAGGAAAAGAAATACATTATCACATATCTACGCACAATATATCTGTACAATCACATACATTTGTATATAAAAATCCTGTTCTCTTTGCCAATATGTGTATGCATTGCATTTTGTAATTTTCTCTTGTTACAAACCCCTAACAATGGTAAAAAAAAATAAATAAAAGCGTGTAGCTTTCAACTATTCCTATAAAATCATTAATAACTGAAACAATGTATATGTTTACAAACTAGCCATGTCATTAAGTAGACATATACTGCAAAAGAAGTATCCTTTTTGATTTGTAAGTCTTGATGGCTTATACAATAAGGTAAAGAGCAATGTCCAACAGGCTACTGCAACCAGTCATGATGTAGTCATAAATGATTATGATAAACAGTAACCTGACTGCTTGATTATTGCAGTTTGTATGTCATCACTGCTCTAAGCACTGCCTTAAAAAGTCCCAGTGCAGACAGGAAACCCACAGTGCTGTGATAGCTTCAAATAAGTGTGCAAAGGAACTCTGGTCACTGCAGTGTGCATATGTAGACTAAAACCAAGTTCCATTTTTTCATGATACCCACTAGGCAATCATGAGCTAGATCATTGAAACACACATTTAAGGGGGATGGTGTTGTTACTTTCTTAATAGAACTCTGTATGTATCGTACTTTATGCTTAGACTAGTAGTTCCCAACATTCAGGTTTTATATGTGTACAACTAAAGGGTAAGGACTACGATTTTTTTTACAAACTTTGCACTTTGAACGGATAGGAACAAAATCAAGCAGGTTATACAAGGTGTAAAAATGTAATCATTATTCACTTGCAAATACTTAGGAATCATTCTCCCTTTTTTAAAATAAAAGGAATGACGTCTTTACCTCGTGGTGTGCATGTCTTACAAATTCAGCATTGCAGCAGATCCATAGGAGCATATATACATTGTTGGAGATTCATACAAGCATATATAATTATTATTATTATACAGTATTTATAAAGCGCCAATAGTTCGCTCAGCGCTGTACATTACAGAGGGGGACAGAACATGTGACAGAACAATACCAACACAATGCAAAACATGAGGGGATCGAGGGCCCTGCTCTTTCGAGCTTACAATCTAGGAGGGAGGGGATGGTGGCACAGGAGGAGATAGCTGTGGGGGATGGAGTGGTAGAAAGAGTGGAGGAGGTCGGCAAGTTAGCAGGGGTTGGGGTAGGCTTCCCTGAAGAGATGGGTTTTCAGGGTGAACCTAAAGGAGAGGAGAGTAGGTGATAATCTGATGGGTTGGGGCAGGAAGTTCCAGAGGATGGGTGACACCCTGGAGAAGGCCTGGAGGCGGGCATGGGAGGAGGAGACCAGGGAACTAGAGAGAAGGAGGTCTTGTGAGGAGCGGAGTGTGCGTGCTGGGCGGTACTTGGATATTAGGTCGGTGATGTAGTTCGGGGCAGTATGGTGGACAGCTTTGTACATCAGTGTTAGGATTTTAAATTTGATCCGTTGCGCAATCGGAAGCCAGTGGAGGGATTAGCAGAGGGGGGAGGCGGAAACGGAGTGGTTGGAAGGGTGAATGAGTCTGGCAGCCGTATTCAGGATCGACTGAAGCGGGGATAGCCAGCGGCGAGGCAGGCCAGTGAGGAGGGAGTTGCAGTAGTCGAGTCGTGATATGATGAGGGAGTGGATGAGCTGTTTAGTGGTTTCTGGAGTTAGGAACGCGTGTATTTTGGCGATGTTGCGGAGGGTGGAGTCTGCATGAGTTTGTTAAAGATTGGACTTGGGGCTGGAAGGATAGATTGGAGTCCAGAATGACACCATATACAATATACATTCACATACAGTATATGGCTATAGCCTTGTAACAGCTTTCCAGGTATACCAGCACATGTACAGCCCGCTGCCACTTCATCAACGATAAGAGCGGACTGGTTCACATTTCTTTAAAGCATCAAACAGTACGTGATGTTTAGTGCTGGAAAGTTGTGTGTGTAAAATGTTATGGGGAGCTACCTACAGTAGATTTCCTGACACTAGAGGAAATGTCAGAGCACCTGCTCCTGTTTTACACAAGTTAATATTGGAGGAAGATCAGTTAATGAAATGTGAGATAGAAGTCCAGAAAGGCAAGGACTTAGGATGTAGAGAAGACTGCAGTAGTTGGTAGGTGTGTCAGAGAAAGTGGAATAAGGTGGTGCAATGGTGGAACAAGAATGACAAGAGCCGGCCACATATGGCTCATAATTTTGGGCAGTTCAGCAGGTTCAGTTTTGATCCATGTACGGGCAAGCAGGTTGTACAGAAGTCAAATTACCAATTGACTTTTTATACAGCCAGCCGGTCGGATTTTCCCAGCTCGATCAGCGCAACAGGCTACATCATGCAGCACTGGCTGTTGGCAGGACACAGCCCTTTAGGGAGCCCTTAATGTGCATGCCTTTTAGGGTTTTTACAAACTGCTCTGCCTATTCTAAGGTTCAAACAGCTAGTTAAAGCAACAGTTTTGATTCTGTGTCTCCCTGAAGGTTTAGGTATGCTATCAGTTCAATCATGATTGCATGACAAATGCGTCAAGGGAGTGGGCCGGATAATGTCATAACATTAGGCGGAACCAGAAGTCGGCCATCTTGGATAGGTATCTGAAGTCAAAGTTTTATCTTAACGGGATAATGCTTGTTTAAAGAGGCAATCATTTCTATGTGCACTAGACGAGGAGCCTTTGTATATAAAAAATCCTGTTCTCTTTGCAAATATTTTTATGCATTGCATTTTGTAATTTTCTCTTATTACATGGTCTGGGTAGGCATATCCATGAAGGGATGCACAGACCTCTACACACTAGACAATGGCACCCTGACTGCCATTAACTATCAGGATGAAATCCTTGGACCCATTGTCAGACATTACGCTGGTGCAGTGGGTCCTGGGTTCCTCCTGGTACACAACAATGCCCGGCCTCATGTGGTGAGAGTATGCAGGCAGTTCCTGGAGGATGAAGGAATTGATACCATTGAATGGCCCCCACGCTCACCTGACCTAAATCCAATAGAACACCTCTGGGATATCATGTTTTGGTCCATTCAATGATGCCAGGTTGCACCTCAGACTATTCACAAGCTCATGGGGGCCATATAAGCTACTGAGTACCATTTTGAGTTGCTGCAATAAAATTTCAGCAAAATGGACTAGCCTTATGCATTATTTTTTCACTTTGATTTTAAGGGTGTCTTTGAATTCAGTCCTTTGTAGGTTGATCATTTTCATTTCCATCAATGATGGGGCATCCTTACGTTCCTAACACATTACCAAGTCCACATCAGTATAGATATCCAGCATATTTTTTCCCATTGAGATCTGATGTGTTTTCAAAGTGCTTCTTTAATTTTTTTGAGCAGTGTACATGTGATGTTATTTTTATACATATGTGCATCTGCTCAATGTGATCTAGTTTTATCATCTTCTGATTACGTGGAGTTTATTTTTATTTTATTGTTTTTTGGTGTGGGGAACACACAGCAACAGCTGTTGCAAACACTATTTTGGTTTATTTTACATGTTGATTTTTGTGGTAGTGCAAGAGATTTTGGCATGCTATCGGCTTGGCATTGTCTGTGTAGACCATGTTCTCTCTCCCTCTGATCGGATTCTGAAGGGCCTGAAAAGCTTGGCCATCTGCTAAAAGAGATCTTGAATTGGATGACTTCTTGCAGAGATTGGAATCCCATGGGTCCCAAAACTGTAAGGAGCTCAATTTCAAGCATGTACTTGCACTGATAGTAATTTTGTAAGGATTCCTCTGAGCCCAACATGTTCCTCTCTGGAGGTTCCTGGGTCCAAATACCAGTTAAGGCTCTGCATTACTGCTGGGGATAGGGTAGTCTAAAGAATTCTCTTTTCTGTTCCACAACATGAAGAGAAGGGCCTGCAACCTCCCGGGGTGAAGCTGAGCCCAAGGAATCACTGGTCAACATAATCAACCCTAACAGGCTTATCACCTGTCTTAGAGATTATTGTGATACCATAGCCCCCCTAGTTAGGGCAACCATCTTTAAGATTTTCTCTTCTGTTAGAACAGCCTTCTGGGAAAAGGCTATTTGGTATGCCAAATAGACAACAGATCAAGTTGGATAAAGAAAGAATTTTTCTAGGTTAATCAACCAATCAAAAACTGCAAGAGTTTCCAGAATGAACTGGAGCGCCAAAATTAATTTGGCTTTTGTCTGTGCAAAGACTAGGAATCCTGCTGGAGTCTCGGATACACTATGAATCTGGCCATGATCTTGGTAAAAATTTTTGTTGCTGTTGAGAAGCCAAAATGAAGACGAGCTTGAAATTGCAGATGAGTTAGACCCTCCTCATCTAAGCAGAACATTTGAAAGATGAACTAAAGCCATTGCTTAAACTGTTTCCAAAACCGTTATATTCAAGGCATACCAAGAATGACAATGTTCACAGTTGCTTATGCTCTCTCTCTAAACTGTCAAGCCATCAAATGGCTGGTGTCAAATCTGATCAGATGTGCAGCACCATGGCAACTGCAGCTCAAACAGAGGTTGCTTTATTGCCTATAAAGGATGGGAGGGTTTTATTCTGCTTTAAAGTAGAACTACAGGCAAAACTTTTATTCATTTTGGAAAAAGTAAGGGAGGGTTATAACCCCTGGCAGTTTATTTTTTTGTCAACGGCGTCCCATTGGAGAGATTACCCTTTCACTTCCTGTCCCATAGCCAAAACAGGAAGTGAGAGAAATTCCCTGCAAATTAAGGGAATTTCTTGGGGACCCCCAGGTGTCCCCATTGAAAAATGTTCCCTCTTTTACTTTTCTGGGGACAACCCAAAATTTGGGGTTTTCTTTTACTTTCACTTTTGATGATAATGGTAAACAGGACAAAGAGAGGGTAAATCTCCCCAACGGAGGCACAGACAGCAATAACAACCTAATAGATGTTCTTATCCCTCTCCACTCTGCCCAAAACTAAATAAAAAAAAAAGTTTTG